TATGTAGCTGACATATTTTGTGCCTATTGCAACATTTCTTCAGCCCACCCGATTTCGATGCCGCTGTGGTGGATAGCACCACATGTACCATCAGCTACTTGCCTCAAGGGCAGGCAAACTTCCTCTTTTCTGCCTCCAGACTCTCGAAGTTGTGGAAGGCCACTCAGTTAGTACAGGGGTGTACTCTGGAAGGACTAAGGAACAACACTTCCTCAGGGGTAGCCCTCAACCATGGGGGATGGAAATTGGTGGCTAAATGCCCTCTTTTTGGACGAGACAAGTCTAATATACTTTCTTTATAAATGCCCTCTTTTTGGACGAGACAAGTCTAATATACTTTCTTTATGGTTCCTCAGAGTGTCCTCATTGGGATCGAACGCCAGTTGCCTTCTTTCTTGACTTTTCTGCCTTTCCTTTTTTACTGTTTTTTTGTTTTTTGGTGGCTGTCTGGTACAGGGATCAAACCCTGGACCTTGGTATTATCAGGACCACGCTCTAACCAACTGAGCTAATTGGCCAGCCCGATTTCTTACTCTTTGGCAGCTGGCTGGTACCTTTTTTTATTCTTGGTGGTATCTCACTCTGCTTTCTAGAATCCCATTTCACATAAACTAAATACACCCAGATTTGTGTGTCAGACTCTGCTTTCAGGGAATCCCAAATTAAGATAACTTAATATTTTCCTGAAGGTGGGTGAAGCAGGAATCTGAGATTTCCAAAGAATCTCAGGAAATGGATACTCGTCCCAAGTTGGATCTGGGCTTCAAGGAAGGACAGACCATCAAGTTGAGTATTGGGGTGAGTATGGTTTTTAAAAATGTTGTTTTCCTGTGCTTCTATAAGCCTGTGACCTCTCTCTTTCTCTTGCTTTCCCTCTTTTTTTTTTTTCTTTTGTAGAACATTACATCCAAGAAGGGAGGTGCTTCTAAGCCCAGGACTTCAGGGGCTGGGGGCCTAAGCTTACTCCCACCCCCACCTGGAGGCAAAGTCACTATACCACCACCGTCCTCCTCAGTTGCCATCAGCAATCATGTCACACCTCCACCCATTCCAAAATCTAACCATGGAGGTAGTGATGCAGGTAAATCTAGTACTTCTGACTTTGAGAAATCATATCGTGTGTTTTAATTGGGAAACACCTGTTTGCCACAGAGAGAGTAGATATTTTTGGTATGGAATGGCTCTTGGTACTGACTGACAGGATGATTCTGGCAGCCTCTGGCAAGGGATCGGTGCTTTTCTGGTAAACTGAGAGTCATGGAATCTGGTAGGTTCTTTGGCAGAAAATATGTGGTTATTAGACTGTTTCTTTCATTCTTCCTTGGTCAGATGCTAGTAGGCTTGTGAATCAGATGAACCAAGATTTCATTTATGGCTCTGCTACTTTGTTTGATTGTCCTTGGTAAATATTACTTAAGTTCTTTGAGTCTCAATTTCCTTATCTGCAAAATGGAGATGTATAACTGCCCCAGGATTGTGAGGGTTAAATGATGTGACAGCACCTACTGCATACTTTGAACTTAGCAGCTGTCCAGTAAGTGTTATTTCTTAATCCTTTCCATTTCTTCAGAAGGGCAGTTGGGAGAAAAGAAGACATCTAGGTCTGTGCACATTCCCTTACTGTCTGGTGGGAAAAAAAGAATAGATATAGTTATACCTTCTTATTTGAAAAATGAGAACTTCAGAACTCAAGAAGGAATTTTCCTCAGATTAGAGAATCAGGTATTAGAATCTGAGAGTTTTAACTTAATGTATTGGACAATGCAGACCTTTTGTCAAATTGATTCTTAAGGGTAAGCTTTCTCTTTTTTGAATTTTTGAGGTGAAAGTGTTATAGCTTTCTCCTTTTGGTAATTATTGCCAGAAGGCATTGGGAATTGTATCTAAGATTTTATTTTTTGACTTTTTAAAATTAAACTTTTTATTTTGATGTACTTGTAGATACACATGCAGTTATAAGAAATAATACAAAGAGATCTTGTTTTACCCAGTTTCTGTCGATGGTAACACCTTGTGACAATATAGTCAAATAACACAACCAGGAAATTGACATTGATGCCATCTTCCAATCTTATTCAGATTTCACACGTTTTATGTGTTTTTGTTTGTGGTATGTGTATATATATGTGTTCGTAGTTCCATGCAGTTTTATCAGGTACAGGTTTGTGGATCCATCATCATGGTCAGGCTGCAGAACAGTTCTGTCACTACAAGGATCTCTCACGTCACCCTCTTGTAATCATACCCATCTCCTTCCCTGCCTTCCACCCCCCTTGGCAATCACTAATCTGTTTTCTATCTCTATAATATTGTCATTTCAGGAATGTAACATAAATGGAATCATACAGTATATAACTTTTTGGGATTGGCTTTTTCTGCTCAGCATAATTTCCTTGAGATTCATCCAAGTTGTGTTATCAATAGTTTGTTCCTTTTTATTGCTGAGTAGTATTTCATGCTATGTATGTACCACATCATGTTTAACCATCACTCACAGAAGGACATCTGGGTAGTTCCAGTTTTTGGCTATTTCATTTCCAAGATTTTTATTGTTTCCCCTTTTCTGTTTTCTTCTCCTACGTTGTGTTCAGATATCCTTTTAGATTTGGCTTCTCCTGCTCCTATCACGACACCAGCACCAGCCCCAATTTCTGCAAGCAATGACTTATGGGGAGACTTTAGCACTGCATCCAGGTAATGGGCATAGTGAAGCCAGCATACTCTTAATCAGGGCGGAGAAGATATGTACAGTCAAATGAAATCTTTTATCTGGGAAAGGAGGGGATTTTCAGGTTATATATATAGATATATATATATAGAGAGAGAGAGAGAGAGAGTGTGTGTGTGTGTGTGTGTGTGAGAGTGACTGGTAAGGGGATTGTAACCCTCGGCTTGGT